GGGAAGAAGATATTAAAAAATGATCAAAATTCATACACCAATAAATAAGCACTCGACATTTTTGATTAATTGCACTTTTCGTGAAAAGATGTATATTTTACTAAAAAATAGGCTGCTTGCAAAGATAAAGCTAAGTTTATTGCGCTACATGCGACATTTTGAGTAACAGTAACGAGTTCTTTATCGAAGTTGTATATAACATCTTTAAGCCAAATTAAAGCAAAATGCCCTCTAATTTGCTTTTTTTGCTAATAAAATAAGATTTGATGTTTCAACGTTTTTTGATAAACAGCTAGGATCACTCCGATCTCGCCCGTATACGATCACGAGTTCCCTTTTAAAAATTGATCATCTTCACTTTTTTAGGGTCCGATTATCTCGTATTAACACAAGATGAAGACACTTGCGCCTCTCATACTGGAAAGCTAGGTGGAGAGCAGCCAATAATTCTTGGAAAAGGCTGTGAGAGTTTTGGTCATGCTGCTCACGAACTGGGACATGCACTGGGCCTATACCACACAATGAGTAGATATGATCGCAACGAATTCATCAAGATTTTTTTTGAAAACCTACAGGTAAATGAATAGAAATTTTTTTTACTGCATCTGATGCCTCTCATAAGTTATATTATAAATTAATCCAAAAATTGATATATTATAGCTTCCTAACTTTTCATCCCATCAAGCTACCTCATCTTGTTTTTATTTAAAAAAGAAAATCATATGATCGATTGATCGAGATGGATATGCCTAAGATGTAGTGGGAGTAAGTGTCATTATTGAAACAATGGATCATAATTCAAGTAGATACTCGCTTCAGCTCTTATAGAATAACAGATCTAAGTGATGGACTACCACTTTTAAACTATCATTATTTCTGAAAAAAAGTGCTACAATCACGACGCCATAGTGCAAAGGCTTATGCTAAGTGTCTTTGGAACGTAATCAGTACAAATCAACCCATACATAAACTCAAACCCTGGAAACTAATCGTTTTTCTGCTCATGTTTTCAAAACCTTAACTCCCAGTTCTAACGACGATTACCACGAGATAAGTGGCGAAACTTTCATATTTTG